AGCCAGAGGAAAACAAATCTCACAACTGGAGTCTTATGAGATTCAATTCAGAGGGTGATCCAGTCCACAATACTCCAGCTATAACTAAAATATCAGTATTGAATTTGGGTGGACTGACCTATTTTGGGGTGGGGTGTTAAAAAAAATCTGTTTAGTAGGTAGATGGGACCTTTAAAACAAGACAGACTTTCCAACTGCATTTTTAACATAATTTCGGAATCTATATTATAACATATGCAGAATGTGGGCAATCCTTTACGCAACTTTTTACAACATGTACACACCTTACACTGGTTTGTGTTGAACATTTTTGTGGGGGAACAAGAATGGTAAAACGATAATGTTTTTTTTTTTTTCTTAATTTTTTTGCTACGAAAAATATTGGGGCACTTATAGTCGTCTTACCTTGATTTGGTGGACTCTGGCTAAGGACTGGCATATGGAGGGCAGAATCACAGCTGAGACTTCTAACAATCCCTTGATCTAAAGATCATTCTTTAAATTGTAACAACCATTGCCAATAAAAAAAAAAACGTGAAACAGTGCCAAATGATGACCTAACAATGCTTCTAGGTACAGGAAATGTGCATGTGTATCGCTTTATAATTGCGATTGTTATTTGATATGTGAAAAGATGGTACTACCACAAGCCAATGGCTGACGTTTTTACATTGTACATGTACATGTGGCTCCATGTAGGCAAGTGATGCACCCAACTGACTCAAATGCAGTGATCAGACAAGGATCGGACTGTGTAGGGGCTCCACATGGGGTGATGGCAAGCACATTAGGAAGAAGTGCTATACACATAGATGATTAGCGCAATCGTTACCTCCCCTTTTCTGTGGAGACAATGGAGAGAGTGTGCACCTCTATGGTCTAGTTTGTTAGATCGCAAAAGATGTGCTTAGTCAAAAGTTTTGAGGAAGTACAAATGTTTACCATTGGAGATGAGCAAATTTAAAAAAAATACAGCCAAGATCTGCTGATTTTTATTTTATGGTCCTCTAACCAGGCAACTTCTGTATCACCCAATGTACATGCTCAATAGGAACCTATTAGAATTCCTTACGTAGGAAACTCATTACTTTATTCAGCACATTAAGCTCTTCATGCCGCCTCCAGGAGGCCCTTTAAGTGGGCTGTGGCACAGTTTCTCTATCATGTGACCACTGTGACTCTCTCACAGAGGTCACTTAATAGGGAGCCCATCCCGCTGGCTCCTGCTCAGAAGCCATGACCCAGAGCTATTGGTGACAGCTCAGTCAGTGCGTTGGGAACACACAGGCCACCGTGGATTCATACAGTTGTGTTCAAAATAATAGCAGTGTGTTGAAAAAAAGTGAATAAAAAGCTCAAAATCCTTCTAATAGCTTTTATTTCCATTCACACAAATGCATTGGGAACACTAGACATTCTATTCCAAATCAAAGCATGAAGAAAAATATATCAAATTTGTGTTGTTCCTCTAAATAAATTGAAGAAAAGTGAATATTAGACTGTTCAAAAAATAGCAGTGTTTGTATTCTTCTTTCCAAACTCAAACATTCACTATATAAACTGAAAAATGTTTGAAGATTTTGCTTTCCTTTGAATCACTTAATTAATATTTAGTTGTATAAGCACTGTTTCTGAGAACTGCTGTACATCTGTGTTGCATGGAGTCAACCAACTTCTGGCACCTGTGAACAGGTATTCCAGCCCAGGATGATTGGAATACATTCCACAGTTCTTCTCTATTTCTTGGTTTTGCCTCAGAAACTGCATTTTTGATGTCACCCCACAAGTTTTCTATTGGAATAAGATCCAGGGATTGGGCTGGCCACTCCATAACGTCAATCTTGTTGGTCTGGAACCAAGATGTTGCACGTTTACTGGTGTGAAACAACAAGAAGCGCACCAACCTTGTGCATTACCTCAATAACCAAAATTTATTAAATGAAGGAAAGGTACTCACAAACAGGGAATAAAAACAGGCATGTAAGTCCACCCCTTGTAGCTCTGAGGAAGAAGGCATGACCTTCGAAACGCGTCAGCTGGACTGAGTACCTACACCCATGATGGGATTCACGCTGGCCTCTTACCTTTGAAGTCCCTGGGTGGACTTACATGCCTGTTTTTATTCCCTGTTTGTGAGTACCTTTCCTTCATTTAATAAATTTTGGTTATTGAGGTAATGCACAAGGTTGGTGCGCTTCTTGTTGTTTCACTTCGCAGTTTGTTCGGGCTTCCCCAGAGTCTTGGTTTGGAGCTGCACGACCTTGGATACTCCGGTGGTTGCTTCTCCTGAGTTTTTAATCCTAATTCTACCTAATTCCACCTACTCACCACCGGCCTGGGTCCCAGAGCGCAGGAGTAATCGTTTTTGCTCACGTTTACTGGTGTGTTTGGGGTCATTGTCTTGTTGGAACATCCATTTCAAGGGCATTTCCTCTTCAGCATAAGGCAGCATGACCTCTTCAAGTATTCTGATGTATTCAAACTGATCCATGATCCCCGGTATGCGATAAATAGGCCCAACACCGTAGTATGAGAAACATCCCCATATCATGATGCTTGTGCAACCATGCTTCACTGTCTTCACAGTCTACTACTGTGGCTTGAATTCAGTGTTTGGGGGTCATCTGACAAACTGTCTCCCGGCCACTAGACCCAAAAAGAACAATCTTACTTTCATCAGTCCACAAAATGTTGCGCCATTTCTCTTTAGGCCAGTCAATGTGCTCTTTGGCAAATTGTAACCTCTTCAGCACGTCTTTTTTTCAACAGTGGGACTTTGCGGGGGCTTCTTGCAGATAGCTTCTTCACATAGGCGTCTTCTAATTGTAACAGTACTCACAGGTAACTTTAGACCTTCTTTGATCTTCCTGGAGCTGATTGTTGGCTGAGTCCTTGCCATTTTGGCTATTCTTCTATCTATTCGAATGGTAGTTTTTCACTTTCTTCCATGTCTTTCAGGTTTTGGTTGCCATTTTAAAGCATTTGCGATCATTTTAGCTGAGCAGCCTATCATTTTCTGCACTTCTTTATATGTTTTCCCCCCTCCAATCAACTTTTTAATCAAGGTACGCTGTTCTTTTGAACAATGTCTGGAACGACCCATTTTCCTCCGAATTTCAGAGAGAAAATGCACTGTAGCCAGCATGTACAACATTTGCTGCCTTCGTTCCTTAAATAAGGGCAATAATTACCACCTGTTTTTCAAAGAATGAATGACCTCACTAATAGAACTCCACACTGCTATTATTTTGAACATGCCCCTTTCAATTAGTAATTCAATTACACAGAGTCAGCAGCATGCATGTCATGACTGTTGGGTCTGTTGGATTTTTATTACTCTACTACACCTGCTAGTAAATTATTTGCCATGTAGAAATATAATTTCTACCAAAAGCAGTGATTGATCAGGTTAGTGATGTCTGACTGCTATTATTTTGAACACAACTGTATGTGCAGTGGCTGAACATTTAACCCCATTTTCCTCTGCTGCTACTCAGTCAGCAATAGATAATCATTAGAAAAGAATCTTCACTGGTTCCACCACCGACTCACCAGCCTAGACATCAGGCACCTAGGTAAGAAATAACCCAATATGATGTCTAAGGGACCCCCATTCACTTAAAGAGAACAGATCAATCACCCAGTGAATTAAACAAGACTCATGGATAACTAGCTAACCACAAATCTGTTTGATCTGGGTCAGATCAATGTTCCAATTTACTAATCTTTATGCACATTGAGACATCTGTCTGTCCGGCAAGCCAGGCTAATGCACCATGACCTGTGAACAGTCAAGCTGCAATACCATTTTTTACCACTATGAGGAATGCAGATGAAATATAAGCATGTGAGTCTTACAAACTGGGAAAAGAAGCCTGTAGGACTAGGGCAATGTTGGTCAAATTAGGAGGAACAGGGGGCCTCAACAATGGCTTCTGACATTACCAAGGGGTCACGCATAACTTTCAGTATATACCATGCTGCAGAAGACTGTTACAGACAGCAGACATGTTAACAGAGATAGTTAAGAGACTGCAGGCATGCTATAGGACTGATTGGAGGCTGAAGGCAAGTTATAGGAAACAGTCAGAGACTGTGGACAAGTGATATGAGACTACTGGAGATCACTGCAGTTATAGGTTCTTTACAGATCAATGTTCCCCTGTCCCCTCCTGACTTTGGGACCCAGAATGGAAACCAGAAGACTAAGGGGACCATTCCTTGTTGTGTCATTCATGTCCAATATTGGTTCCCTTTCACTGAAAAGAGACAGGTCCTCACAAAGTGCTGTACTAATCAAATCTGCAGGAAATATATTGAAATGGTGCAGATTATCCAAATTTAACCCTCCAACAAGAGAAGAAAGAAAAATATTGTCTTCATTCACTACTGGCATATGCAAAGCAAATTATCACATACATGCTTTGGACACAGATGCAATCCTGCATTCCTTATAAATAAACATCCAAGGCACAAAACTGACACTGAACAAAAAACATAAAAACAAAAAAAATTATATATATACTTAAAAAAAAAGTTGCCCCATGCAAGGCATTTGTCCATTCCCTTATAACCTCAGCTGGTTTTTGTCCGCGGCTTGTTGGAGGTGCCGCAGATTAAACGTTCTGAAGAGTCTGTAAAAAAACGTCTGTAAAAAGCTGGTATTTTTGGACATGGTATTTTTGCATTAAAAATACTACATTCATTTTCTAAAGAATCTAGTCGGCAGCCAAAAAATATTTTAAAAAAAGTTCACTAAAATTCTGTACATCAGCAAGTTCCAAAGAAAATCCAGGGACGGAAAGACAGAATTTTGGCACTTTCGTAAAATGCGGTTCTAAATTTAGCAGGCTCATTTCACAGTCGCCCTTCAGTATCCAGTATCGGCACAGTACAAAAAGCAAGTCTGCAAAGAAAAAAGGAATGTTCGCTGTATGAATGTCAAAGAATAAAAAGATTCCCCACCCGCCAATATTTGCAGTTTTTAGATTGCGTGGATCTCAGTGAGGTTTCTGATTGGAAGATGCTGTGTCACATTGTTCTAACTGAACTCGTAAAACTCCTGTCTTGTGAAGTAACCAGAGCTGGAGGAACTCTTCGGGCATAGAGTGGAACCCCGTCATAGGAGGCACGTCATCGTAGTAATGGTGGCTGATGGTTTTCCCTTTCAGGTCGATTTGAAAGGGCCAGAATCCATAAACGGTCACTTCCTCGCACAGGCTTAAGGCAGCGCTGACCATGAAGAGGCCCGTAGACAAACGCTTGGAGTGAACACCCTTGGATTTCCAGAACTTTCCGATATTACGCAGGAAGTTGGGGTTGGCGAAGAGAACAGTCTGGTTGGTGCTGAAGTCTGCCAAGGTGTAGTACACGCGAAGCGAGGGCTCCGTTCCATGTTTCATGGAGAAGGCTGGCATGTAGACGTAGCTGGACTTGTATACCTTAACACTTTCCACAAATGATTTCCTCGACCACAACAAGTTCTGGAATCTGAAAAAAGACAAATAATAAATACACCTTCATTTTACTGATCACTGACTCTCTCATTAGATAGATAGAATACATAATAGATACACAGAGATACTGTAGATAAGAAGGGTCTTCAAAAGGTTTCCGCACTTTTTTTAAACTCTATTTATTAAGAATTTAAAAAACAATGTGACAACTCTTATACTTAACTGCAAGGTCAACTGGCCAGATAGACTAGTCACATGACACTCTCAGACATGCCCACATTACTACTCCTCCTCCTGCCCTCACCGTGTCCAACGAAAATATACAAGTGTGGAAACTTTTTGAAGACCCCTCGTAGATAGATAGACATCTGTCTGTCTGTCTGGCAGGCTAATGCACCATGATCAGCAAAGTCAAGCTGCAGTACCATGTTTCACCACTATAGCCATGCAGATAAAATCTTAGCCTCTGAAATTTTAGCGAAAATATAGTTTTGATATTTTCGGAGGGGAGGAGCCCTGTCAGGTAGGCTGTAAAGGGCCCTGTGATTTACAACAGCAGTCCTGGATAAACAGATAGATATATAGATAATCTTTTTCTGTATTCTCACTCTGTGTTACACTGTGTTACCTCTCAGCACTGCTTGGTGTCAGTTGCTCATGATAAACGCATGCAATGTTTATCTGTTCTGAATTTGCTATGACCCGTCTATTTAAACCTGAAGATCTGGAAATAATTGTGTGAAGATCCTCCAGCATTTTGTTTGACTCCTGCTTATCTAAACATTAGTGAATACTTTTCCTGTATGTGCTTCCACCCACTTCCTGAATGAAATGTGTGCATTCCTCACCACTTCCCAAGAAACATCCTTGTGTACCTCCAGCCATCCTGCTCCTCTTCTTTTCTTCATTCTGCCTAGGTAAAGTGACTCTGTGACTGTTTCTACAGGCCACCACTAGGGAGCGCTCTGCTCCCCCTCCATCGGTCACCCGATTTCAGAATTTGCTTGTGGTTGATCTTAAACTAATGGTGATGGGCAAGGAAGGACTACACAATGTCTGCATGGGTTACTCCTCACCCTTCCCCCTTCCCGACCTCGTCTCCTCTCAGTAATGATTTAATCGGCTTTCAGATCACTTTGCATGTTGCACAAAGCTGTCACTGGCCAGTAATATTGTTGCACTCAGGAGTCCTAGCTTCAGGAAGAACAGCAGGAAGAACAGCTTCAGAGTATTAAAAGAATAACCAGGCAGTCAGAATGGATACATAAACAATACAGAATGTGCCATGGCCAATGACAATTGTACTGATGAGAGACAGAGGAGGCTAAAGAATAGCACATACATTCCTTGTCTGTATCTGGCCATCAGTAGATCAAACAGAAGAACCTTCCAATCATATGAGCAATGAGCAGGAACACACCCGCACTTTGTGATCCGCTGCTGGCTCATACAACTTGCGCTATGAACACATGAAATCAGTATGTGGATAATGGCTTCCTATACACTATTTCATTTAGATTTGGGACATTTTGGCTCTATTGCACTATAATGAGCACTTCCAACAGCAGAAATCCTCTAATCTCCTTCTTCCAGACAGGGCCTGTCTGGCTTTAAACAAATAGCATCTTTGCAGTCTCTAATCATTTGAAACATCCACAATGCACCTGGTAGTCAGAGACCATGTGATCTAGGCTGCTTAAGCCTGGTACCCATATGCAGTTTTACTTTTTTGTTCAATCCATCGGGCGGAACGAAAAATAAAAAAAAAAACAGAGGCGCTCACTGTACTAACTACATGATATTAGTACAGCGATCTTCCCACTCAGCTATTATGTTTTAATAGGGGGAGAGCCAGAATACACCTGTCAGCACTCGCAGCCATTGGCTGCAAGTGCTGATTAAAAGCGGATTTGTTGCATGGTTCTCCAGCATGCCCATTCAACAGAATCCAGATGTTAGGCTGGTTTTTGTTGGGCAGACTGCTGTACACACTGGCCAAATGTCGGCCATTTTCTGACAAATCAGCGGATATTCGGTCTGTGTGTATCAGCTTTTAGGCTATAGGTCATATAATGGAATAACAGAAAGAGGTAGGAGTGCTACTTCACATAAAAATGTGATTTGGTGATGCTGACATATGACCCTATTGATTTAATGTATAAAGTGAATTTTAATAGCAGGTCCACTTTACTTTTAAAAAATTTTTTTGCTTGATTTTTTGACATAGTAAGAAAAACAGAGCAACAAAAGATTAAATCAATTCACAAACACAGAATAACTTATAACCAAAGATCGGCTGGATCGGCATACATTGTCGACAAGACATCTTAATATATCATCATTAATGATATGTTGACTTTGTAAACTAAGCCATACCCAATGGGTGGATGGAAGGCATGTAACATCACACTGACATATCTGGAAATTATATCCTCCAGGTGTATTAGGAGCTTGCTATTATCAAATAAGAACTGAAAAATCATATACAAAAATAAAAGTGTTAGATTTCAAAAAAAAACAAATTTTGCTGAAATGGGTGAATTTCTTAAAAATTAGTTGAAAGGTTGAAGTAAAATGACAGTAATCAATGGGCTTTGTTAAAGTCTACCATCCTGGAGGCAACTAGATCAAGTGTCAGGCAAGTTAGTAAGAATAATAAACGGAAGAAAAAACCAACGTGGTTCACTAAAGAGATAAGTAGGATAGTAAAGGCAAAAAATCAGCATATAGGAGATTCAAGGAAACAGGAGGGTGGCTGACAGAGATGAGTTTAAGAATAAACAAACACTTTGTCAGTGCTGCCAAACCACAGAAAGAGGAAATTGCTAAATCTAATAAGAAAGGAGATAAAACCTTTTTTAGGTACATTAGTGATCGAAAGAAAAAATACAATGTGATCACTAAAATGAAAACTGAGCACGGCACCTATGTCAAAGCATAGCTCCACCCAAAAGGGGAAGTTCCACTTTAAGCCTTTGTCCCTACGTCCGCTGCGATCGCCTTAGGCGATCGGAAGCGAAAGTTGTCTCCCCTCCCTCCCCATAGTCTTCTGGGACACATGACAGGTCCCAGAAGACTACGGGACCATTCACAAAGCACAGAACTACTCGCATTCGCAATGGGCACCCAGCTGTGAAGCCGCAAGCCAGGTGACCACACTGAAGATGCAGGCCCTGGAAAGAGAAGACAGCCGGTGAAACCAACCGAGGTGAGGACACCGCTTGACCGAGGGACAGGTAAGTGTCTGTAAAAGTCAGCAGTATACAGTTTTTGTAGCTGCTGACTTTTATTTTTTATTCAACTGGAACTCTGCTTTGAGGAGACCTGGATATAGCAAACCACTTAAACAAACAATTACTTTTCTTCAGTCTTCTCAAAAATAAATTATACCAACAATAATAAGTTAGGAAATCATATTGGTTCTAATAATGATGGTTAATTTTTAGGATTTCCAGAGAGAGGTAGCAGAGGAACTGGCTTGGTTAAAGATTAATAAAGCAATGGGCCCTGAATCCTGATGGTATTCATCCCAAAGTTGTAAGAGAACTTAGAGGTATAGTTGTTGGACCATTAACTGACCTTTTTAATCAATCTTTTCTAACAGGAGAATTTCCCCTTGACTGGAGGACAGCTAATATTGTACCCAGGGCTTTTTTTCTCAGAGGAAAGGTGGTGGAACTCCCCCACCCAAACCTGGCCACGCCCCCATCAAACCCTAGGACCACCCCTTTAGAGAACAGGAATGCAAGTAAAATTTGGGAGGGGCTTCCGATGACATCATTTCCCGTACATACCATATAAGGGAAATGATGTCATCGGACCCCCGGCTGCCTCTTGCATGATCTGCATGAAACACATGCATAGATATAAAATGACTAATGTACTGACACCAGAAACACATGCATAGATATAAAATGACTAATGTACTGACACCAGAAACACATGCATAGATATAAAATGAATACCGTACTGACACCAGAAACACACGCATAGATATAAAATCAGTACCGTACTGACACCAGAAACACATGCATAGATATAAAATGACTAATGTACTGACACCAGAAACACATGCATAGATATAAAATCAGTACCGTACTGACACCAGAAACACACGCATAGATATAAAATCAGTACCGTACTGACACCAGAAACACATGCATAGATATAAAATCAGTACCGTACTGACACCAGAAACACACGCATAGATATAAAATCAGTACCGTACTGACACCAGGAACACATGCATAGATATAAAATCATGGCAGGCCGTTTGTAAACGTCCAGCATAGATATAAAATCAGTCTAGCATGCATGTGTACCCTGTCTGGTAGATGTGCCTGCTCCTACAGGCTCCCCTAGGGTTGCCACCTTTTCCTCCAAAAAATACCGTCCATCACTGAATTTATCTTTCCTGTTCCTCATGCACAGGAGGGGCGCTCTCGATCGGCGCCGCTGAGCGCTGAGCAATTGCGTTCTGAAATAGTTTAGGTGGGCTCAGGTGGGTGAGGATAGTTTAGGTGGGCTCAGATAGTTTAGGTGGGCACAGGTGGTTGGGATAGTTTAGGTGGGCACAGGCTGGGGAGAGAGTAAAAATTTAGAGCAATACATGATACTGCAGTCAGTGACAGGGAGCCGAGCGCAGCTTACCTACTCCTCCAAGCTGTACGGCCCCTGCGTCCACGCTGTCACTGCCGTTGATGTCGCCGCGCCGCCCCCGATGTTTACACGCCGGCGGGGGGGGGCGGTGAAGCGTGCATAGTGTCCTCGCCCATCGTCCGCGCCCCCGATGTTTACACGCTGGCGGTAGAGGGGGGGGGGGGGGGTGAAGCGTGCATGTCCCCGCTCACCGGCTGTGAGCAGCGGCAGTGACAGGTGCCGGGCACGCGCAAGCATGACATAAACAAGCCGCGTCCGGCACCTGTCACTTTCGCTGCTCTGCATAGCTTGTCAGCTCTGCAGAGGCAGTCGGTGAGCGGGGACAAGAAGAAAAAAAGTGGCGGAACGCAGTACCGCCGCGTTCCGGCAGAAAGAAAGCCCTGATTGTACCTATCCACAAGAAGGGCAGCAAGGTAAAAGCTGGCAATTACAGGCCAGTGAGTTCAACATCGGTTTTAGTCAAGTTAATGGAATCACTCCTGAAAAGAAGGATCATTGATCACTTAAAAACAAACAACCTGCTAGATCCAAAGCAGCATGGCTTTACCATCATGTTAGACTAATCTAATTGTTCTTTTTATTATTATAAAGTATTTATATAGCGGCAAAAAGTTTGCTCAGCGCTGTACATATAGTATAGTGGGAGACAGTACATGAGACAATACAGTAACAATACAATACACGAGGGGTTCGAGGGCCCTGCTCCTTGGAGTTTACAATCTAGGAGGGAGGGGATAGTGGTACAGGAGGAAATGGCTGTTGGGGGATGGAGTGGTAGGAGGAGTGGAGGAGATCGGCTGTTAGGTGAGGGCAGGGTAGGCTTCCCTGAAGAGATGGGTTTTCAAGGTGCGCCTAAAGGTGAGGAGGGTAGGTGACAGTCTGATGGATTGGGGTAGTAAGTTCCAGAGGATGGGGGAAGACCTGGAGAAGTTCTGGAGTCGGGCATGGGAGGAGGAGACCAGGGAGCTAGAGAGTAGGAGGTCTTGTGAGTAGCAAAGAGTACGTGTTGGGTGGTATTTGGATATCAGGTCGGTGAGGTAGTTTGGGGCAGTATTATGAATAGCTTTGTACGTCAATGTTAGTAGTTTGCATTTTATGCGTTGGGCAATCGGAAGCCAGTGGAGGGAATGACAGAGGGGGGTGGCGGATACGGAGCGGTTGGTAAGGTAAATGAGTCTGGCCGCTGAGTTCAGGACAGACTGAAGCGGGGATAGTCTGTGGTGAGGTAAGCTGGTGAGGAGGGAGTTACAGTAGTCGAGTCGTGAGATTATAAGGGAGTGAATGAGTTGTTTAGTAGTGTCTGGGGTTAGGAACGAACGTATTTTGGAGATGTTGCGGAGGTGGAGCCTGCATGAATTTGCCAGCGATTGGACATGGGGCTGGAAGGACAGATTGGAGTCTAGAGTGATGCCTAGAACTTTGGCTTGCTGGGTGGGACTGATGGTGGCGTTATTGGTCGTGATGGAGAGGATGGGGGGGGGGGGGGGCGCGGGCTGGGGGGAAAACTAGGAGCTCGGTTTTGGAGAGGTTTAATTTGAGGAAGTGGAGTGACATCCAGTCTGATATGTCGTTCAGTAGGCAGGTGATTCGGGCGGAGACTGAAGGGGTGAGGCAAGGGGTAGAGAGGTAGATTTGCGTGTCATCGACATAGAGGTGGTAGTTGAAACTGTGGAGTGTATCAGTTGGCCAAGGGAGGAGGTGTAGATGGAGAAGAGAAGGGGCCCGAGGACAGAGCCTTGGGGGACCCCAACAGAGAGGGGGAGGTGGCAGCGTTATAGGTAACACTGAAGGAGCGCTGGGATAGATAGGAGGAGAGCCAGGAGAGAGCGGAGTCTCTGATGCCAAGGAAGTATAGTTCTTTAAGGAGGAGGGGGTGGTCAACTGTGTCGAAGACCGCGGAGAGGTCAAGGAGTAGGAGGACTGAGTAGTGGCCATTAGCTTTGGCGGTTAGCAGGTCATTGGTGAGTTTGAGTAGGGCGGTTTCGGTGGAGTGTAGGGGACAGAAGCCAGACTGTAGGGGATCAAGGAGGTTGTTGTCGTTGAGATGGGAGCTTAGGCGATTATAGACTAAGCGCTCGAGGAGTTTGGATGTAAATGGCAGCAAGGAGATGGGTCTAAGGTTGTTCAGGTAGGTGGGGTCCAGGGAGGGTTTTTTGAGTATGGGAGTGATGTGCGTGTGCTTTAGGGGGGAGGGAAATGCGCCAGTAGAGAGGGAGAGATTGAAGATGTTTTGGACGAGGGTGATGTTGTGTACATAGCATATCTTGATTTCAGCAAGGCATTTGATACAGTTCCACATAATGATCTAATACAAATGTTGTACAAGCTAGGTCGTTACGCTCACGTGGTTCAGTGGATATGCAGCTGGTAACAGGATAAAAACCAGAGTGTGGTTGTAAATGGGGTTCACTTGGAACAGAGACCAGTTACTAGTGGTGTATCACAAGGCTCTGTACTAGGTCCTGTTCTATTTAATCTATTTGTAAGTGATAAAACTCAAGGTTTGTTGGGTAAGGTATGTCTTTTTGCTGATGACACAAAGGTGTGCAATAGGGTTGATATCCCTGGAGGTGTCTGTAACATGGAACATGATTTGGCATTGCTGAAAGATTGGTCAAAAAAGTGGAAATTGCAGTTCAATGTTTCTAAATGTAAAATAATGCACCTAGGGAAAAAGAATCCCTTCAGTACAACATTGTGGGTACAGTGTTGGCCAGCACTTCAGAGGAAAAGGACTTGGGGGGTACTTATTTCAGATGACTGCAAAATGTGCAAACAGTGTGGCCAGGCAGTTGGGAAAGCGAATAGAATTCTAGGATGCATCACTAGAGGGGTCACCAGCAGGAGGAAGGATGTTCTGATTCCCCTATATAGATATTTAATTAGATCTCATTTAGAATACTGTGTCCAGTTTTGGAGACCTCATTTAAAAAAAGATATTGATAAGATAGAACAAGTCCAGAGACGGGTAACAAAAATGGCGAAAAGTTTGGGGAATAAAACATATCAAGATCGACTTCAGGAACTGAACATGTACAGTCTGGAGGAAAGACGGGAACGGGGAGACGTGATTGAAACCTTTAAATACATCAAGGGGGTGAATGAGGTTCAGGAGAGCAGAATTTTTAACACAAAACCAAAATCAAGAACACGGGGACATGACCTGAAACTAACTGGAGGAAAGTTCAAAACTAATCTCAGAAAGTATTATTTTACTGAAAGAGTAGTTGATGCTTGGAATAAATTTCCAGCAGAGGTAGTGAGCCAGTCAACAGTAAATAACTTCCAACATGCTTGGGACAAGCATAGATCTATACTCAGACAAAAAGTTAACAAATAATAAATAATTTAAAAAAAAAAAAACAACACAAAAAAAAAAACAACCCCCCCCCCTCCCAAAAAAAAACCCACAGACACACACACACAAACCCCCCCCCCCCCCAAAAAAAAATGGGGACTCAATGGACCACCTTTTTCTGCCGTCACTTTTCTATGTTCCTATTATGAAGTCCTCTACCGTCCCTGCCATTGTTCCAACCACTGCTCCTTATAATGTGTGGTAATACAGATAAATATCTACGCCTTCTGCCGACAGGTCCACTTTAATGTGGATTACAAAACAGTATATGAACGTAATATTCTTGTTACCTTTTATCTATTATTGAGGGGTTCACCGTCACCAGTTGGGTCTTTGTTCCCACATCTGGGATAAAATCACTGCTCAGCGGAGGCAGATTACACCTGCAGAAAGACAAGGTGCCATATTAGAGATATAATACTGAAGGCGATTATTCGATAATGCAATGACAGACAGTTCTCATATTTCAGTTTACTGTAGTAACTCAAGATGTTAAATCTGACTGGCTGGGTTACTGAACTTTGTGCACATTTACTGCCTTACTTTACCAAGCCTACTGTGGGTAAAGCAAAAGTCTATGTAAAAAACAAAAAAATCTCAAATTGGTGGCCTTCTTCTTCACAATGCGAAGCCATTAGTAAACAGGTGAAAGCAGCCTCAGCCAATTTCATCCATAGTCACACCCCCAACATATTTTACCAGCCTACGGGGCTTAATCGGGGGGTTCATGATGACCTCCATGATTAAGCACTGTGGGCGGGGTGACATGTGTTGGGGGCATGGCTATGGATGAAGTTGGCTGAGGCTGCTTTCACCTGTTTACTAATGGCATTGTTAGGTTTGCGGTGTTTGGGACATTTCTCTATGCATATCCACCGTATGTGAGGAGTGTAGATGGACTCCTTCCCAGCCAGCACCCATTGCAGGAATCACTGGATGGACCTACTGGAGCTTAATTGGAGCCTTAAGTTTTATGAGGTTGCAGTAAGCCCTTCTTCATAGTGTTACAGTGATCATGCGTTTTAACATTTCCAGTGCTTACAGTGGGGAAAATTATTATTTGATCCCCTGCAGGTTTTGTAAATTTGCTCACTTACAAAGAAATGAGGGGTCTATCATTTTTATCATAGGTGTATTTTAAATGATAGAGACAGAATATCAACCAAAAATCCAGAAAGACCACATGATACAAATGTTATAAATTGAGTTGTAGTTCAGAGAGTAAAATATGTATTTGATCCCCAAGCAAAACATGACTTGTACTTGCTGGAGAAACCCTTGCTGGCAAGCACAGAGGTAAGACGTTTCTTGTAGTTGGTTACAATGTTTGCACACATCTCAGAAGGGATTTTGGTCCACTCTTCTTTACATATCTTCTCTAAACCCTTAAGGTTTCTTGGCTGTTGCTTGGCAACTCAAAGTTTCAGCTCCCTACATAAATTTTATGTAGGATTAGGGTCTGGATTCTGGCTATGCCATTCCATGACCTTAATGTGCTTCTTCTTGAGCCACTCCTTTGTTGCCTTGGTGGTATGTTTTGGCTCATTGTCGTGCTGGAAGACATATCCACGACCCATCTTCAGTGTTCTGGCTGAGGGAAGAAGGTTCTCATCCAAGATTTTACAATACATTTCCCCGTTTATTGGCGCCTCAAGGTGGCAAAGTCAGCCTGTACCATTAGCAGAGAAACAGCACCAAAGCATAATGTTTCCACCTCTGTGCTGCTTGACTGTAGGGATGGTGTTCTTAGGGTCATAGTCAGCATTTTTCTTCCTCCAAACATGGCGAGTTGAGTCAATGCCATCATTATAATGTAATCATCTGATTACAGAACTTTCTCCCAATCCTTCTCTTAATCATTTAGATGTTCATTGGCAAACTTTAGACAGGCCTGTACATGTGTCTTCTTGAGGAGGGGAACCTTGGGGACGTTGCAGGATTTCAATCCATGGCAGCGTATTGTGTCACCCACGTTTGCTTGGTGACTGTGGTCCCAACTGCCTTGAGATCATTCACAAGCTCCTTCTGTGTAGTTCTGGGCTGATCCCTCACTTTTCTCATGATGATTCTTACCCCATGAGGCGAGATCTTGCATGGAGCTCCAGACCGAGGACGATCAATGGTTATTTTGTATTTCTTCCATTTTTTTTAATAATTGCTCCTCCAACAGTTGTCTCCTTCTCACCAAGCTTCTTGCTGATGGTCTTGTAGCCCATTCCAGCCTTGTGTAGGTCTACAATCTTGTCCCTGATGTCCTTTGACAGCTCTTTAGTAGTTTCCCATGGTGGTAAGGTTTGAATGGAAGAAAGATATTCTGTGGACAGGTGTCTTTTATACACATAACGGGTTGTCGTTAGGAGCACCTTCTTAAATTGACAGGACTAATCTGTGTACCACATAAGCACATAGCCAGTCTGTGGGAGCCAGAATTATTGTTGGTTGGAAGGGGATCAAATACTTATTTTACTCACTTAACTGCAACTCGATTTATAACATTTGTATCATGTTTTTTTCTGGATTTGTGGTTGATATTCTGTTTGTACCATTTAAAACACACATATAATAAAAATTATAGATCCTTCATTTCTTTGTAAGTGGGCAAACTTACAAAATCTGCAGGGGATCAAATAATTATTTCCGCCACTGTACTAAGTTACAATAATACAGCATGTTACTGAAGATCACAGGCTTGTTCTGTATCGTTTGCAGAGTAAAAGTGAGCGCTGGCAGCTACCAACGCAGATCAATATACATAAACCTTTAAAATGATATACCTGTATAGTATAGGGTGCAACGTTGCACCTTATACAAGTACTCTGATCATAACTGTAGCAAAGCTCTACAATGAAAAAAAAAAACTCTTTAAAATAATTTTCTAATTCAGTTCATAAATGACTCCTGGGTACCCTTTGATTAGTTCCTAATTAAAATATATCTCAGGCTAAAACGTATGTTTTTCTAATTTTGGATAGAGTATGGAATGGTTAAAACCCCTGTCTAATTATTATTATTATTATTTTGCCACTCAAGAGACTTCCCTTTAATTCCTGTCCCATAGACACAGCAGAAAGTCAAGTCAAACCTCCCCAAAGTGAGAAAAAAACCTGCCAGATGTCTTCAGAACAGGTGTCCATTTTGGATGATTTCTCCTCCATTTTTGCTTTGGTGACAACGTAAAGTAGAACTATAGACATAACTTTTTTTTTCATATTGCATACAGTAAGGTAGGGTTATAACCCATGTCATTTTTTTTTTTTTTTTTCGCCATCTGTGTCCCATTAGAGAGACTAGTACTTTTCTGGGGACAACCCAAATTTGGGATTTTCTTTTACTTTCACTTTCAATGCTAATGGTAAACATGGCAAATAGAGAGGGTGAATGGGGTTTCAAAGGTATATCTTGTACATGACCTGAATAGAGCAGGGCCACCAGTTGTAACTAAAACATGTGTGCCTTGATGCCTTTCACCACAACAAGGGCATGTCTTATGTTCCTATACTTCCAATACTCTTCTTGACGTGGAACTTTAGTCAACAAAAATTAAGTCGATAGATTACTTCATACTGGCCTTTTTGCAGGTATAACTTTGTAAAACATTAAAACTGTTTAAAATCCAGTAATACACTGTTTCACCAAGCTCCGCACATGCTCAGTTGCTCTTTATTCTTGGCATTGTGCCAATAATCAGAACCACTAAAGGCCGCTCTGCTGACAGGCTAAAGATTTACTGCTGCTCAGAGGCTCTGGGCTTCAGCAAATTGGTGGCCTCCGGCAAGAAGAAACAGAGGCAATTTACAACACACACTATTTTGGTAGCTTAATTATTAATGTTTCTTGCTAAAGAACATTATTTTTTATCAAGTTGTTATAGATAAAATTCCACTTTAAGAAAAAAAAAGGTACTTTAAAAAAAAAAAATGATGGCAGCAACACGTTTCAAAAATTCAGGATAGGGCAACAAAAAGCTGGCAAAGTAAGTGGAAATAACAAGGACACCACATGCACCCCTAACATATGGGCAACCATCAAGGAGAATGTGAGGCATGTCATCTACATCAGCTGACTTTCACTAAATATCTTATATGTACTGTATATAGCTTGAGGGGGTTAGAAAACAAACAAAAACAGCAGTATTTTTTAAAGTTCACAAGTAAAATGATTCTATTATTTAAAAAACACACAAAATCTATAGCATCCTTTGAACTCATGAACGTAATGGTTTACAGATGATACATCTAGTATTTTTTCTTTTGTAGCAAGTTCATCTCAAAGTCACCCCCTTTATTATTTACATGTACAGTACTTGACCTAAAGCCCAAAATCTTACATCTGTTTTATTATCATGATGACGTTGCAATGATGTCTAGCAATGGGATATCTCAAATTACCTATTTATAATGGTAATGTGACCTGAAATGTCTACATTTTTAGGGGGCATATTTATTGATCTTCTTAATTGATCCATCCCTTTTTTATTTTGCCCTTTGATATATTACTCTTAGATTTCTATGTTTATAACATTTTCCCAAAAAATAAATGTAATCTTAGCTCCATGGCTAGAGATGTGCACAACAGGAAATTCGTTCAGTTTTTGATGCATTTGTTAAGTTAATAATTTTGTTTTGTCATATTCGTTATGTTACAATGATTCTTTTTTGGAATTCATTTAGTATATTTGGATTTGTTTCGTATATTCGTTATTTCCAAATGGATTTAAAAGTCAAAGTCGAAATTCTAAATTTCAAACATTCTAATTTTGGAAGATGGCTATACAGTATTCATTCCATTTCATTTCATTATGTTCTATTCTGTTTGATTCTATTCTTTTATTTCCTATTTTATTCTTTTATTTTCTATTCTATTCTGTTCGATTCTATTCTATTCCTTTATTTTCTATTCTACTTTATTCTATTCTGTTTTATTCTTTTCTATTCTGTTCTAATCTATTCCTTTATTTTCTATTCCATTCTATTCTATTCTTTTATTTACTATTCTAGAAAACTTATTAGAAAATTACTGTATTTATTGCAATATGTTTTTATTAATTTTCAAATTTAAATTTGGATAATATATTTTGTTATAATTATTTTGGATTCCTTGAAATTCCTTACTATTGTGATTCGGACATTCAGATACATATAAATCTCCAAAAAACATAAATTTTGTCAGAATTTCGATTCATAATGTAATGATTTGTACATGTCAAGTTCAAAATCTTAAAAATTATCATCCTTCAGACATTTAATTAAATTACTTGGATATTGGCTCGCAGGGATTCCCCTGATCAAACTCTTGGGATGGCAACAACTAGCATGTGGAAACATATTGCCTGCTATTGGTTTTTGAAACAAGGATGTAAAAGTATTGCCTTTTTATCCACCAT